CAGAAGGGCGTCCTTAGGGAAGGGCTTCCTGGAAGTATTTCTCTGAGCTGCCATCAAACTCCCAAAGTCAGATTTCTACTTTCAGAGCTTTCCAAAGAAACCAGAGAACCAGGATAGCCACACTGGGTCCTCTGAGAAGAAAGAGGGAGGGAAGTGTCCCCAGAGTCTCCCCTTCCCCACCTCCTACCCCCACTCTTGCTAAGATGTCTCACAGTTTCATTCCCACTGTGCCAGACAGCAAACTTCCTATTATCCAAGGGTTCTGAAAGTCAACGGTGCTGCCTCTTTGCCATTCTTGAAAGGGGACCCTGATTTTCACAGCCTGGTGGAGTATTTGTCTTTCTTTGAAGCCCTGATTATGAGCTTGTGTTTTTCAAGATAAAGGTATTTAATTTCCTTGGAGTTCACCCACCACCTTTTGTTTAGCAATTGTTCTGCAAAGCCTTTGGTAATCCAATCCCCTTGCATGGTGATGCTGGCATCTGCAGGTGGCTAGCAAGATTTCCTTTTATAGTATCCGAGTGAGAAAATAAACAAATAAAATACGTGTTTTTTGAAAAATGAAAACAACTTGAAATGGAGTCTGGTCATTTTGTTTTTTTCTTTTTTCTTTTTTCTTTTTTGTAGTCTCCAGTCTTTTCCTAAAGCTGCCATCTTATTTCTCAGTGTTTGTAGGAAGATAGGTGGTCACCAAGCTCCAGGTGGGAACAGAGAGAAGAGGTTATAAAGGGAAGGAGAAATGTTGTTGCATTTACAAGAGCCAAATACAGCCTGTTGAGAAGGCTTGAGACAGGAGGTATTACCTCAATGTTAGAGCTCTTCTTGGCCTTGCTGTTTGAGCTGTAATGCTGGATTAAAAACGGGTAAGCTTCAGTTCCTTTTCTTTGAAATTTTGTGCATTTTAATAGGATAACAAAGCAGAAAAGGATTACATTAGGCCCCGGCATGTTGTCTGGTACATTTTAATTGAAACCAAAGTGCCGACAGTTACTGTCAGTTTCAGAGGTCTCTGGGGGAAAAAAAAGACCACCCTCCTACTTCACTTCACCCCTTCTCTTTGCTTATTCCATAGTCCTCTCATTTCTTTAGGCACACGTGAAAGCCAACTGGTGAAAACTATAAAAAGCAAGATGACCCAGGAGCTGCTGGGGAAAGTAAATTAAGACTCTGCTATTTGAGACACAACAGGGAAAGCTCCCATGGCTTGACACCTGGTGGCCATTTAAAGACTTCAAGGAAGAGTTCTTTTGGGTCACACTGCTCCTACATGTCTAAGTTCTCTGATCAGTGAGTTAGATGCTGTAGTAAGTGCAATGACTAATTTGCCAGAGAGAAAGGAATCGAGGGCACCTCCTGTCTTGGACCAGTGCTTCCAGCATGACCAATGAGAGGTCACGTGGAGATTCTGCTTGGCCAAAAAGGCTTTGAGCATCTCTGGATAATTTGTGTCTGGATTTCAACCGTGGCAGAAGTGGGGCCACTGCATGAAGTTGGCCCTGGTTGCTATGGCTGGGCAGGTAGCCTACCCTGGGGTTGTGGAATGTGCACAGCATCCTCCACATAGCCTTGCTCCAGCACCTTGGCTCTTATTACAGTGCTCACTCTGTGTTCCAAAGAACACTGCAAACATAAGTTAGTGTTGGCAGGCTGGCAGGACCCAGGCGTCTTCTGAGGCACAGTAACCAGGGCAGGGTGACCCCCTCTGATGATTTTCCTTCTCTTCTGTTCAGTTCTTTCCTTTATGCCAGGGAACACTTGGTCCCCATGTATAACATGGAGAGGGCTCCCATTCATGCCATTTCACCTTTCCTTGGGGCCTGACTCCACCCCCATCACCTCAAACTCCACTGTCTAATCAGCCTCTATAAATCTCTGTGGAATGGGGAAGACTTTCCAACAACTGAAAAAAAAAAAGAATACCTTTATTTTACCATGAATGAACTTAACTTCTACTTCAACCTTCAATTTTCACTCCAGTGCCAAACACAGATTTCTCGGTAAATTTGGACTTAAATCAGGCAAACTTCTCTATTCTTCCCTTTGTTCACTGGGTGTACTTTTGGCCCTCTGGTGGGAGGGAACCACGATGTTTCATAGAAAATGTGTGGGCATTTCATCTTCCATTCATTACACTCAGATTTCCAATATTCCCATCTGGAGCCTGGAGAAACCTCAGGTCTTTCATTTTCTTTGCCCTCAGCCCCCATGTGTCTTCCCATTGCCACTACTCTACTGTAGTATGTCAAATAATTCTGGGATTTTTCCAAACTCTAAAAGTGATTTTAAAAATTCTCTTTGTAGCTCTTGTAATCCTAAGCTCATTCTGGGAGTGACACCAGCCATAGATGTTAGCATTGAGGGCAGTCTCCTTGGCAGGGATGGACCATACCCAGCATGCCCTGGTTGGGCTACTTTGCAGACTTGGTGGCTTTGAGTCTTCAGTTTTTTTCTTTAACTTCTACCATCAATTTCCTTCAGCCTGCAGCAAGAAAATGTCTACATTCCAAAATACTTCTCTAGCCCAGTCTCTCACCCTTCAACAGCATCATGTCTGCTGTGAGTATGAAGAACTTGTTTTGGACTGTGCGCCTCTCAAGGCAATAGCCAGCCATCTTTGGGGACCAGAGATACTCTCCAAACAACCTCTGAGATCACACACAGGAACCACAAAAGCTTTCACAGTAGCTTACTCTAGAACTTCTGCCATCTACAGCCAGCTTTCTCAAACTGGTCCCTGCGCTGAGCCAAGCCTTCGCCCATCTCATAGCAGCCCCTGTACTCCCTTCCCTACAGATTCTGGCCTCCATGATCTTCCCCATGGTGCTTATTTGTCTGAAATGCCCTCTTAACACTGTCCTTACCTGTTCAGGATCTGGGCAACTCAGAAATCTAGTTAATTACACCCAATCTGTAATCATGACTTGATATTTTCCTCTGTAGTTAGTTCCCTCATGCTTTTCTTCAAAAAAAAAAAAAAAAAATAACAGCTAGTCCCCTCTGCACTCACCCTCAGCCTTTCATTGTAGTCTGGCCAGTACCAGGATTGTTTGATAATCTCCCCTGAAACTTCATGATCCTTAATGGTCTCTGAGACTGTCTTATTCCCAGGAACAAGATACTGTCCCTCAGTATCGCCTGTTGATTGGATGACTGACTGGCTGATAGTTAGAAAATAAATGCATGCAGACAAAGACAACAGAACAAGCCATCCTGGAATTCTGAGAGTAGCATGGCACACATTCATCAGTGCAGATCAATAATGGTTGGGATGCCCTGGATCCTTGCTATGAACAAAACCCAGTGTGTTCTAGTCCCAGATTGACCTTCCCAGCAGCTCCATGGTATTCTGGTTTCTGTACTCATCACATACACAGAAGTGAGCTAGGCAGCATTAACCAGATGCCTATGTTCACAGACTAGCAATGGGTGGAGGTGGGATTCAAAGGATATCTGCCGATCCTCCACATCCACTAACAGCCATTCCCATTCTCTGGTCTTTGTGAAGGGAACATTTCAACAAGTGTGTGGTCTTGGTGGCTTCCTAGGAAGGCAAGATTTCTTTTACATTATTTACATCAGCCCCCTAGAGCCGTATTCCAGAGACCCGCCTTGCCAGATGGACCTCTACATAGAAACACTTAGAAACACAGTGGTTTTCAACATCATTCATCATACCAACAAGAAAGGCAAGTGCTTGCTCTCCTTCATTCTACTCCTTCTGAATGACCAGGTAAACCTATTGCACATTTTATCAAGGCTGAAAGTAGACTGAAAGGGTGACCATATAGTTTATTGTCCAAGTCAGAACATGTTGAGAATATGAGCTATCTAAAAATAACTAACAAGCATTAGTGGGTCTCCCTACAAGAAATCCTGGGTGGTCAGGAACACTCTGCACTCCTTACTGCACATACAATCTGTGATTGCTTTCCATTCAACCCAATGTGGTGTTCATTCTTTTATTCACCTTTCAATCATTCATTGATTCCTTCTTTCATTCATTCATTCATTCATTCATTCAAGAAAATAGCCTGTGCTGGCCCTCGGTAGACAAACCCCACCCTTATGAAATCTCATGCCATAAAGATGGGAAGTGAACAAATAAGCAATAAGCAAATACTATTTGGTGCAGCCTAGAAAGAAAAACAAAACAGGTTCAGGTGAGAGGGGAAGGAGTCCTGTCTGAGGGAGCTTGGGGACAGAGCACCACAGAGGAGGGAACAGGTGCTCTGACTCCAGGGTGGACGAAAGATGGGGAGGCTTGGGGAGAAGAAATAAAAGAGAGCGTCTAGAGCAATAGATCACACTTGGCCTCAAGGCTCCAGGGAATCTGAAATTTATTCTGAGTGAGACAGGAAGTTGCTAAAGGGCTCATGCAGAGGAAATCTGTGATCTAATTTGCATTTTAAACATGAATCACTCTGGCCACTGTCAAGACACAAGAATGGGCAAAAGGAGATCAAGCCATTGCAATCACACAGGAGGGAAGCCAGAATGGATGTGTTGGTTTGAATGAGAATGTCCCCCACAGACGCTGGCATTTGAATACTTGATCCCCAGCTCATGATGCTCTCTGGGGAGGCTAAGGAAACATGGCCTTACTGGAAGAAGCATGTCACTGGAGGATGGGTCTTGAGGCTTCAAAGTCAGGGGTCATTCCAGTTTGCTCTCTCTGTTTGGTGTTTGCCATTCAAGATGTCTGCCCTCAATTTCCACTCCTGACACCATTTGGACTTTTATCACAGTGTAGCTATGGCCCAGGGTGGTAACAATGGCATTGGGATTTGAGGGTAGATTCAGATAACAAAGCATCTCTAGGATGTGTGTGTGAGGCAACACTGGTGCCTATAGCAGAAAAGACTTTATGATGGCACTGATCCCAGGCAGCTCAATCTAGGCTTTGGTGTGCAAGTATCCCACAAGCCATTAATTACACTTTGGACAGGAGAACCAGACCATGTTGGTCCTGTAAGTAGGAGAGAAGCCCCTAGTGTGCTTACCTTTGGCCCTGTGATCTTCCTCCTTGGGGCATTTCCCCCCTTCCCACCACTTTCGCTTCAGAATCTCCAGCCGGTTGTTCTCCTGCAGCTGGAGAATGGCCAGGTCAAACTCATCCCGGAACACTGAGCCTACAGGGTCAAAGCAAAGTCCGGGGCAGGATGTCAGTATCCTCCTAGGCACACAGAGCTCCCCTTCCCAGCATACAGCCTGTCCACTCTCCACAGCCCACCCCCACCCATCTATTCTGTCCTGTCCAGCTGACTTCTGTTCTGGAAAGTACTGCCTTTGGAGATAAGTATCCTAGGTTCAAGAAGTCTTCTCTTTATAGTTTATGACCCTGGCCAAGTAGCCTAACAGCTCTAAATCTCCGTTCTATTCTCTGCAGCATGGGCATAACCAAATCTACCTCTCACATGGCACAATTAAATGAGACAATACACCTGAAACAGTATCTTGGCAGGGGCAGGACAAAGGGTAATTTTTTTCTTGATTATCTAAAACTGGTCTCTTTCACCTCAACTTTGTGTGGTCAAGTTCCCAAGGAAAGGAAGCACTTGACATTTAGGTTAAATTTATCAAGTCACTAGAGTGTTACCAAGGTGCACCCCAAGTTCAATTCATGATAAACCCCACCATCTTGAAAGAAAATGTCAGCTAATACATTTCCCAAAGATGCCCATAATCTGTAATAGTAGTGTGCACTGATAAAATATGGCTGTAGACAGAGCCTATGAAGGCTTGCCAGTGCACAGAGGAAAGCCTCCAGTTTACACAGCCGCTGGTGTCAGACCCAACCGTGTTCAAGGATGATTTTCATTATTGCCAATTCTCACCTGGTTGTTTTTTAATCAGTGTTTTAATAAGCAATTTGCTTTTACCAACAACACTGGGAACTATAGGAAAAATGAGGACACTAATATTCCCCAAGGGGGTTTAGGTATGAGACACCTAGGGAAGACACCTGACAACTATAGTTCTAAATCTCACAGTGACTCCCTGAGAAGATATGGGAGACTTAATTCTATTCCTTTGTTATCCAGGGCTGAGGAGGTTAAGCACCTATCTAAGGTACCATGACCAGCTCTGTCTGACTCCAAGGCCATACTTATTATATTCCAGCTGCAAATGAATTCTATAATTTATAACACTTGCAGTCAGGGAAAGATCAATCTAGGATGTGAAATGTGACTACAAGGTCTGCATGCTGAAGATCAGAGCTCTCACACAGTCTAGCATCCCCACTTCTTGATTCTTCTGCCTGCCACCTTATTCAGGAACACCCTTACATGAGGACAGCTTGACACAGTGATATGGTCAATGGCCCACATAAAATCACCCAGAGGAGGTGTTTAGAACCCTCACAATCACAACTAAACACATATCCTTATTTTCTGGTAGTGGAGCTATCAGCAAAGTGAATGCCCTTTTAAAAACACAGCTGTGGCACCGTTTTAGGAGCCAAACAACTGACTCTCCTATAACAAAACCAGATGGTACCCAATAAATGTACTGTACACTGGTGCCCATTCTCAATGACCCACACCAAGTAGGAGTACACAGAGTAATGAAATCTACACAGAATTTAAAGCCACCTTGTGTAATCTTATCGATAAACTACAAACACCATGATGTGTTCATCTCAGTGCCTCTAGCACTTCCTTCATCCCACTGTTAGTAGAGACGCTAATCAACAGAGAGATGGCCAAGATGCCATTAACCAAGAGACAAGAATGAGGCCTAAAGTATCTGCTAGGATGTCAATACTCTCCAATAATTAGAATTATCCTCAAATGGCGAGTGGATAAAATAACCAGTCAATTAGTTCTTTAATTACTGATTAGGGAGGAAGCTGCAGAGATGGCTGAGTCAACAAAGGACTTGTACAAACATGGGGACTGAATTCAGATCTTCAGCACCCAAGTAAAAAGGGATGCATGGTGGGGGACAGGTAATCCCAGAGGAGGCAGAGACAGGGATTGTTGGGATTAGACCAGCAAAAACAGTGAGCATCAGATCCAGTGAGAGATCCCGTTTCAAAAATTAAGACAGAGAGAAACTGAGGAAGACATCCAATGTCAACCTCTGGCCTCCACATGTGTGCATGTGCGTGTGTGCGTGTGTGCGTGTGTGCGTGTGTGCGCACACACACACACACACACACACACACACACACACACACACACTTGAGTACACACACACATACATACACATGTTAATTCTGCTTAGTACATGTGTTTGCTTTTTTTTTTTTTTTAACCATAAGAAAGCCTTCCTAAAGTCACTCTCAACCTTGTTGGTTCTAGAAACAGGGGCTAATGGATTTCAGACCTCATTCAATGGTGTTGGCTACCCTGACCCTGCCTGGAGGAAGCTATACCCAAAGGCTGTTCCTCTCCCGCATACCGACTGGCATGCCAATCCCATAGCCCTTGGTGTCCAGCAGGCCCCCAATCTGAGTGAGGTTGCAGTTTCGCTGCCGATAGTACTCATTCATGGTGGACTCCAGCAGGAAGGCGTAGTTGGAATTCAACACCCTGGCAATTCCCTCCTCCGTGCTCTTCACAAACACACTTGGCTGCTTGGAATACATATAATTCCACATGCGTTGGTAGGTCTGGTAACGGGAATTCTGGGGAAATATCAGAAAGAAGTAGGGTTGGGAAATGAGAAAGGAAATGTTGGCTTAAAGAGCTCACTATGTGAGCCCTTTTGCCCCTGTACCCCACATCACAGCCAAGCACCTTTCCCTTCCTGATAGCTCAGGATAATGGAGGAGAGACTGGTGTCTTTAATAGGCGATGAGGATGGCACCCGAGATACTGTGAGTTCTGCCTACTGGATTGTTCACTGGTTCTGTCTCATCTACTTCCAGAGTTCCTCCAGCACCAACTTCCTCATATTGGCAGAATTGAAATTCTGGTCATGTCCCTTCATTGTCCCTCAGTTTGGGGCAGTGTACTCAGGTTCATTCAAGGCTATAAAGAGACACCCCCTGAAAAAGCAGTGCAGCTATTTCTACCCATCCTTAGCCAGTGTATCAACTACACAAAGCAAGGCTGGCTTCTGTTTTACAAATAATAACAAGACAGAATTCTGGGGTTTGATCCAAACTCTATTTGTACCAAGCCTTTCCCTGTCCCCATGCCAACAGGCACTGAGATGCCGATTGAAAATAGACCGAAGGTCTTGGGCTTATCTCATGTGAAAACAAGCTTCTTGGACATTAGGTTGGTTAGACACCTATGAGCCCCCGGGGAAATCTGCTTCCCTGGAGCTCTGGAAGCATATGAAAACTGTTATTTTGTATGGCCTGCTTCTGTCAGCCTTGGTGATCAATCAGCTTGGCTGTCAGTGAACAGTATACTGTAGCAGGGCCTTCGAGGCCAAATCCTAAAGAACCCAAGAGTATCTGTACCTGGGAACCCATCAGTCTAGGAGAAATGACTCCAGCTCATCTTCATTTAGTGTTCCTTAAATGTCGGTGTACATTATTTTCATTTGTGTGAGCATGTGCATGTGTACATATGTGTGTGTGTGCAGGTGGATTTGAGGTGTCTTCCTTTATTACTCTCCACCATGTGTTTTTGAGGCAGGAGTCTCTTCAGTGGGGCTGGGTCTCACTGATGGGCTATACTCATGGCTAGAAAGCTCTGGCTACTGTTTGTCTCTGTTTCTACCCTAACCTCAGCACTGGGTTACAGGTGTGCATGACCACACCCAGCTTATTTTTTTTACGTGGACCATAGGGACCCAAACCCAGGTTTTCATGCTCACAAAGCAAGCATTTTACCCAGGGAGCCACCCCAGCCCCATGTTATTTTAATCTTGCTTTGTCTAAGCACTAACTATAAAATCTAACTCACTTTTAAAATTTTAAATGGCCATATCAGCTCCATCCTATGCAGTAATGTAAATAAGACTATAAGTTTGATTCACAGTATATAATGAACATAAAACAAACACAAAACTATTATAAATTTAGAAGGTTCCATCACATTAGTTCTAAAATCATCTCAAGTACTAACAGCTGCTCAGGCACAACAATTTGGGATAGGTTGATATTCATACAAATTCCTCCTGAGACCTCATTTTGGGGAAATTTTGTGGAACAGGAGAAAACAGAGCCCCACGAAGACCTCTAAGGTAGATGTTCAAAAGAAAGGATGAGATGAGCAGAGACAATTTGATCTTCAATGCACAAGTTTCTCCACTTCCTTCTGATCTTCCTGCCCCCACCCCCAACACACACACATTGGGGCAGCCACAGGGTGTTTACTTGGAAAAAGGTCATGCTGGAGCCTCCATGAATCGTGCCGTACTCAATGGCAGTCTGATCAGCCAGATCATCCACAGACTCAATGGGCACTTCCATGCGCTGCACAGTCAGGAAGGCAGCCAGGTTGGCCGTGTACGATGAGATGATGATCAACGTGAACGCCCACCTATGCAGGAAAAGGTCAGGAAGGCATCATTGCCAGGGCACTCCCAGGATGCTTGAGCCCCCGAGCACAATCCGGCTATGAGCCAGAGGAAAGCAAGTATCTTTCTTTGAAAGAGATCTTGGGTCTGTGTGGGGAAGGAAGGGATACAGGACATATGATGTCAAGAGACATGAACTGAGTTTGTGAGTGTTGCCTGGAAGATGACGATTGGTTGTGGGTTTTTTATCCCCTTATTTCTGAATGGTAATTACTTGTTGTTATTCAAAGGATGTATATCAGAGTCTGGGGACTATCGGAGATGAGCTACTGAATGAGGAAAGGGCTTTGTGCAGAGCTGGAGCAGGGCCAGCGCTCTTGCCTCCTCATTGTTAAGACGGTCTCCAGCTGCACATTGACACATAGAGAGTACCTAACATGAGCAATGTCCACTATCTCAGCTAATCCATACAACTCAGGGAGGTGAACCCACTCTCTCCAACTGCTGCAGGAAAGCAAAGAGGGGCTCTGGGAAGGAGCTTGGTAAGTACTGATGCAGTCATACAGAGCCAGTTCTACAACTGTAACAGCAGAAAGTCTTTAATGAAGATGGACTTGGGAAAAGCATCTTTGGACTGCTGAAAGTTGAAATTGGAAAATACCCTGACAATGGGCAAACTGCTTCCGCCTTTAAAGAGTATTCTACTGAATCGCTAGAATTCATTTGAAATTTGAATAATTCTGCAATGCAGGCAGCATATATGCCAAACAGCAGTGTGTTCACTCTGGTAGGTTAAGCAAGATTTTCCCATCTGCTCATTAGGCTGGATCTACATCAGTACTGCCTTGTGTGTCAGGGGCTCAGTCACAGATCTCAGCTTGGATTGGACTGGAGAATCACCAAATTCCAAATCCGTGGCATCTGAATTCACAAGGCTTTATCCAGTATGCAGAAACTGCTACTTTAATGCATAGCATTTGTCATGGGACTTAGCAGCTGGTAGCTGCCAGGTGGATTTTCAGGACCAAGAAATTCCATTGTCCCTTTTGTAAGGTTACCAAGAACTCCAGCTGGATGTCTTCCTAGAGACACAGAATAGGACCACCCACCAACTCAATGGACTTTCATGTGCTTGGCCACCAGGGAAGTGGAATGTTTGTTTGTTTGTTATTATTATTCTGGTCACAGTCCACCAATGAGATAGCAAGGAAAGCCCTGGTATTTTCTGGGCTTCTTTATCTAATAAATGGGGATAACGACACCTGCTCTATCTGGGGACTAGTGACAGCAAATGAGATACTATGTCATTTGTGATCAGCAGTCTAGAAAAAACTAGGCAAATACAAGAGTCAGAGAAATGTGGAAAGGCCTCCAGGCTGGCTAGGGGATAAAAAACATCTGGTCACCTCCCTGCTGCTTTTTCAAGTAGTGACATCTAAGTGACAGACTTTCCTCCCTGTTCAGGACACACTCTCTGCACCCTCCCTCAGCTCTTTACACAGTTGGATGCTATTTCCTGAGACCATCCTGAAGGGCCAGCCCGAGTTTGGCAGCAGCCTGATGAGAAGCAGGGGTAATGTACCCTGAATGTAGACATGGCCTCAGAGCTGTCTGGGAGCTTCTCTCAGGTTCATAGCCACACTCTGTCTGTTCTTTCCTGGGTGCCATGTGGCTAGTTAGGGCCACAGTCATAAAGACAAGGAGTCAGTCAGCTCAATTGACCCAGTGCAGGCCGAGCTACCTCAAGGAGTTGGTGGGGCTGTGCCCCTGTACCAAAGGGCATTAGCAGTTGTAAAGGTGTCACTCTTCTGAGCAATGTGACATTTCCTGTCACTTGCTCTGGCTGGGAGGCCAAAGCAGATCATGGTGGTCCTGTCTTCTGGTCTCCCCCTCTCCCAGGGGACTAACTAAACTTTGATTTTTGTATCTAAGAACTCAAGAGGCAGAGAGACATGCTGATAACTGTGGACAGTGGGCTAGTAAGGGTCTTTCATGGCAGCTCCTCTTTATTGCTGAGCTCCCTTCCCAGCATGCTTTGAAACACAGTGACTCAGTCATCTGGGGCTTGCTATTTAGAGCAACACTCTGTAGGATGTGGGCTTCTAAAATTCTGTGGAGGAAGGCTTTCCTTGGGTGCTGTAGGGAGCCAATGGTAGATTAAAAAGGCAAAGAACAATGGCCCAGACACACCAGTGGCAAAGAACACCCTTTGGAAGGAAAAACCCACAGAAATGAAATTAACACCCTTGGGTATTCCTCTTCCAACGTTTCTGCCTAGGTTCTCTAGACTTCAATGGAGTTCTATGACTGCCTCTGTTAAGGCAATCTCCTCTCCTTGGGGACACAAAGCTTAATTCTGTCTGTTGATCTACTCAGTGACATCTCTGCAATACCTGGGAACAGACAAGCATCTTGCCCAAGTGGCTTAAATTCAGCCATATTTAGAATTAATTAGGGGCAATGAATACTCTAGGAAAAAAAAAGGTGTGTCATTGTCCTAGCTACTAGCCCCAGCTCTAGAAGCAACTCTGGTACCTGAGTCTAGACCAACTGTGTGACCTAGGTACTAGTAATCTATAATGGAAATACCTCATTTCCCTTTCCTTGGGCTTAAACAGGCTGAGGAGGAGGCAGGGGGACCAGGGCTTGAGGTTCTGGAAGCTGTGGCAGTCAAACCTATCATAGCTTGCTAAGAGAGAGGACCTGATACTTGTATCTTGCAAACTTGCCTCTTTAGGTTGCACACTCTCTTCATTCCTCACCTGAGTCTAATACAAATGACTGGTTTACACATAGATGCTGTAAGTTTTCAAAGAGCTTTACTAATGTTGAATCATTTGCCCAGAGTCTAAGAGTTTACCCATTCCCATACCTCTTGAGATAGACAGGCCAACCCTGCAGAGCCAGGAGAAGGAGGACACAAGTTGAAAAAGCTGGGAGCAGAGAACAAAGAAGGGACCTTCTCCTTTGGAGTCTAATTTGCCTAAATCTGCATATGCTTTTGCTTAGATTAGCTACTCTATCTCAGTCATTTTTCAGGTCAAGAGGTTCCTTCCTTCCTTCCTTCCTTCCTTCCTTCCTTCCTTTCTTTCTTGTTGTGGATCATCAAAGCTGTTTGCTTTGTTCTTTGCCCTTTTAGCATTGGCTCTTCTCTGACCCAGAGGTAGGGCTAAGTGCTAGGAGAGAGAAAACAGTACTGAGCCTTCATGCTCTTTTGCCCTACCTCCCACATCTACATTGCCCTCTACCTGGCTCCTTGCTAGGGTCTGTCTGGCAAGGCAGATCTTCCTGGTTTCTCTCCTTGCCATCAGAAAGGGCAGATCTGTTTAGAACCCATCTCCAGTCTCTATTTAGTCCAGTTCCCTAGCCCTGGGGCCTTACCAGACGCCACTGACACAGCGGGTGGACAAGGCGCGAGGGGCGATGGTAGAGCCTTGCTGCATGAAGCCTCCAACTGGAAACCAGAGGCTGTTGCCTAGGGAGTACTGGTTGACCAGGAGGTTACACCGGCCTTGCGCACAAGGATGTGGACTGTACCACTCATAGGGAGTTAACCTGCAGGAGAGAAGACCACATTCCTGTGGTGAGGAGGGTAGACATGGGGTGCTGGAGAGGGCCACAGCTCATATTCTTGGCTGTACCTGTATGATGGGGTCAGCTACTTCTCTTTGTTGTACTTGGATTCTTGGATTTCCTTCTCCCATGGAGGGGGAGGAGTGACAGCTGGACCAGGTTGGTGCTTTTCCAACTCTTTTTATTTATTCATTCAAAATACCTTTCTTTCCTAAGTAAACTCAGATGCTCAACTCCAGTATTCAAAAGGACTAAAAGTGGTGCCTTTGACAGAAAGTTGGGAGCATCAGGGGTGCACACCCTGGAAGCGTCCTTACTCTTTCATGATGAATTCCAGAAGAGACCAGGGAAAGATTCCAGGGACCCATAGGGTTATGATTTTAAAATCCCTTACCCTAGTTCTATAGTTCTGAAACCCTGGGCTATATCAGTATTGGCAGGAAGGCTTATTTAAAAAGGCTCTGTCTAACAAACCTGTGAATTGTATGAGGGCTATGACCCTGTAAGGCCCTGAGTGATGTGGATGGCACCAGTTTAGCATCCACAGTGACAGCCACTGACTGCTTTTTCTCAGATTCTAGCCTTAGAGATGCAGATGTACAAGGATCAGGAGATTCAAATATTAGCACTCCCCTCTTATGAGGTAGCTTCTGGCTGTCTGGAGCTTCATTTTTCTGTCCTAAAATCTCACCCAGAAGACAGCATATGAGAGAAAAAAAAAGTACAACCTATCCGAATGAAGAGGCATTGGGGCTTCAGAGTTCTCAATGCCTACATGTGTCTGATAGCTCCCAGGAACCTTTGCACTCCATGGAACCCATTTGCAAACCACTGCCTTGCCCAGATTTGCACAGCATACAAATATGCAGTCTTATGATTAGCCCTTTAATGCCTTTTCTATTTTCATTCTTTGCATTCTTTCCTTCTAGCCCAGGCCTGGAACTCACTATATAGCCTCAAACTCATGGCAGTACTTCTGCTTCAGCCTCTTACCATGATAGACTAACACATTTTCTTGTGCTATTCTTTTTGCTAATGCCAGATTTGGGACAGTGTATGGGTGTGGTGATCACAGAGGAGGGTGTAGAGCTCATCTGGGCAGCTTTAGGTGAGTCAGGCTTGTGTGTTTATATTTTAACAAAGCCCTAAGACCCTTTTCAGAGCCTTTGAGGTGACTTGAAAGCTGTGCAGACTGCACTACCCAACTGTCCACACACACAGGCTCAGCCACAGGGGGCCGAAGAGAATCTCAGAGCAGCAGAGCCTGGATCTCACAGACAGCTTCCTAAACACAGCAGCAGACAGCACTGCAAAGTGGAGAGCGGAAGTGTCAGACAGCATGCGAGCTCCCGCGCCTCGCCAGCTGTCACTGACAACAGATACTTGACAGTGGCGATGCCTATGGGGCCAAGAGGGGTGGGTGGCATACAAGTAGCAAACTCGGTGTCTGAAGACTACTAGGTGGTTACAAAGGCCATTTGTTATTGTTGGGCTGGGTCTTGTGGGTCCTGGGTGAGTTTCTTGCTTTTGGCTTTGATGACTATGAGAAGAGACACACTGGGGACCTGCGAGGCTCAGTACATTCCAGTTGCCTCTCCTAAGTGGAAAGAGCATGGGATCCCTAGTGCATAGAAGGGACACAACCTTGGAAAGTTTCCCTCATAGAGCATGGGCCGAAGGATCATCTGGTCCCCAAAGCTGTGTCCTGGAGACAAAAAAAATAAGTCCCTTGCAACAAGGTCTCTGTCAGGTTTCTAGCTCAATCTGAGCTATTCTCTGCCCCCACACACCAGTCTGCTATGGTGAACTGAGGGTTGAGCAGGTTGTAGGGACTTGAAGAGTGGAAGGTGAACTGTCCTGAAGCCAGGCTACCTTGGGTCAGAGGCAAACAGCCCCCTCTATGTACATTCTTGGGAATTTTCAGCCTAGGGATACCCTAGAATTCTTCCATATAGACAGAAACAGTGCCTTGCTTCTGGGAACACGGGAAAGCTAATTCTCCCTAGCCCCTCATCCCGACCATTTCTCCCAACCCAATGCTACACACAAATGTTCCCTTTTGTTGCCTGCTACCCTATGTGGTTCTTGTTCAGCAAGACAGCTGTGTTTTCAGAGGCAGAGCCAGCCTCTGCAGAGACAGCATTCTCCCTGGCCTATGTCACTGTGGCCTCTGGTCCCCCCTTTCCTCACCCTCCCTGTCTGGATTTGCAGGCTCCATTTCTTGTCTTTCAGCACTTTATGGCAGATCCTGGCAAAGATAGATGCCAGGGTGGCCAAATGCACTGTGCTTAATTAGAGTCATCTTCCTGTCACCCCTTCCCTCTTCTCCCTTTCCCAAGGCTCCTACCCAAATTGGTGGGGGTGGGGGGGTGGCTAGGAGGATTCAGGAGGCCAGAGTACAGGAGCAAATCTAGATGAGCAAACCTGTCTGCGAGGTGCCTGGTAGGGAACACATGCATGGACAGATGGATGGGTAGTGCAAAGTTGACAGCTGGGCAGAGAGCATTTCAGGCTCCCAGTCCATTTCTCAGCTCTATTTGGCCAAGGTCTTCTAAACCATCCTCTCTTCCTCCCACCCCCACCCCATGCAGTTCCCAGAGTAGACACGAGGTGGCAGTGTGAGGACAGGGAAGGAAAGGGAAGGGAAGAGTACCGAGCCACCAAGAAGAGGACACAGCTGACGGCCAGATAAGCTAGAAGCATGAAGAGCCAAACTCCTGGAGAAAAGGGGTCCAGAAAGGAGAAATAGCCCGGTCTGCGTCCCTGAAAATGGAGATGAAAATAAGATTCACTATAAACAGTTAGTCAAATGGCTTTGGACAGGACAGGGCAGGGCATAAGCAGTGGTTTGATCCAACACTCTGGTTTCTTTGGGCTCTGGGTGATTCTAATGACACCAGGGATGATGGTGAAGTAGGGACTGTCCCCAAACACTGGATCTCGCAAATGAGACTAAACAGCAGTGCGGGCATGTCTCTTCCTGGGATGAGAGGTCCTTTGTACCGAGCAAATCTGCCAGGCCTTGATGCCTGTGACATGCTTGCTGCCTTGTATTCTCAGGGTGTGTGAATGAGCTGAAGCGATCCTCCGAGCTGTCGTTGCTGTGTCAGGGTCTGAGCTCAGCACCCCACTTTAACGACTGTATGTTTCTCCCGAGGCTGTTAATGCAGCAGGCTTCCTTGGCTTTTTGCTCTGCACAGTGTTCTCACAGACAGTGGGAACATCTAGGCAAATTTTGAAACAGTCCTGTGGGTTCATTTAAAGAGTGAAGGAATCAAAGACCAAGAGATGCACCCAAAGTCACACTGTGGCAAATGGAACACTTGGAGACATGTCTTCTAACTCAAAGTCACCTTCCTGTCCCCTTATACCATGATAAACTACTCCAGAGGTTGGAGCCAGGAGGAGAGAACAGATGCCAACTTCCCACCATGTCACACAAGAAAGCAGAAGAGTAGGATGTGAAAGACAGTGTCATGGTGTCTGCTACATTTTCAACTGTGTGGTCTTGGGTAAGTTGCTGATCCTGTCTGGTCTCAGCTAGAGCTGGGCCAGATCAGACTCACTCTCCAAAGGGCTATGAACCACATGGAGCCACAGGCTTGCTTCATTACCCTACAGGGTTTCATTCTGCACTAGTTGTCAGTGTTAAAGGAAGAGCAGAGTTCACATACATATGTACGTACCTACCTTTCTAAAGGAAATGAACACCGTAGGTCAGTGGTTCTCAGTCTGTGGGTCATGACCCTTTGAGGGTTGAATGGCCCTTTCACAAGGGTCACATAATATCACCAGAAAACACAGACATTTACATTATGATTCATAATAGCAGCAAAATTGTAGTTGTGAAATAGCAATGAAATAATTTTATGGTTGGGAGAGCATCACCACAACCTAAGGGACTGTATATTAAAGGGTCACAGTGTGAGGAAGGTGGAGAACTGTTGCTCTAGGTAATCGGACAGCGTGGAAGCTGAGCAGTGGCTGCTGCTGCAGATGGAGTGTGCGTTCTCCAACCCTGTTCCCAGGTCAACTTTGCTTCTTTTGTTTACTACAAAACCACTGGGCTAGATGCTGTCTAAGGGCCATTCAAAATAGAAATGCTGTAATTTTATGTCTCGGGAACCAAGGAAGTCCATAGATGGAACTAGAAGTCAGTGTTACCTTCAGCCATTCTACGAAATGTTCTGCTTGCACAGTTAAGAGTTTATCAGTCATAACACCACCTACTATCTGCATCCAGCATCCAGGTATATCATATTTTCTTGGGAGTCCCAGGAAAACAAATGAAAAACACCTACGCCAATACTGACTAAACTCAGCCAGGTCTCTGAGTTGGCACTAGTCATAGGAAGCGACAAGGACCTGAGCAACTCCCACTAACAAAAGGGTCTGTCCCCACAGCTTCTGTGTGGCAGCAAGAGAAGCAGTTGTGAGTGATCCCGTAGTGCCTGCATAGCCCTATTCCCCAGGGACACCAGTTTTTCTGGGTGGCTTCTCATTCCCTTCCAGAGAGCCAGGAGGGACATTCTCAATTCCCCGGGGAAGAATTTTACTTTCCACAGGGAGACTATCTCAGAGGGGACACAGAGAGGATGCCAATGGCTCACCACCTGTCGGCACACAAATGCTAGATGTATGTAGAACACATGATCAGGATGATTGGAAAAATGAGCCAGTTTGCAAAGCAAAGGCTAGGAACGGAGGGACGGGAACAGCAGAGGAGGACAGGATAGAGACCAGACCATGTGAGTGTGTTTGGTCCCATCATTACACAAATCCTTTAACAAGAAGCAAGGGGTTCAGGGGCAGCAGAGTCTGGATCCCTGCTTGCTCATTCCAGTGATTGTCTGATTCACCACCTAAGCAGAAAGACAGAGTGTAAAGAATCCACACAGATGATGAAGGCCTCAAAGGGGACCAGCTTGCCTATGCTTCTACTGCAGCAGTCACTAGCTTGGTCCACTATTAGACTGCCTCTGGGTAAATATATGTGAATTCTATGTGACAGTTTAGGATGTGCCACTCTGTGTCTTTCAACAGAGAGACAGCCAGGAACGGGGGAGGGGAATCGTTTACTGCTGCTTGACAGGGGAATCTGAAGCCCCACCAGATGCTCCATGTTAGACATCTATATCTGATTCTATCACAAGGAGTGAACCTGAGGAAGCCGGCAGTACTATTTAAAGCTGCCATATTTGGTTAGGGGCAATAAGAAATGATATGGAGCCTTGAGAAAAACTCCCAGAGACTTAGGTTATAAGACGTAGGATATCACACAAACAAGAAATAAGATGTAAACATGGCCTCACTAGAAAGCTATCAGTCACACTGGCACAGCAACATCTGATTCCACCAATGATTGACTGACACCAACCATAAGAGCAAGGCCTGGGCAGTCATTTGAGATCTGGGTCTGGGTTTAGACTGAGCCACACTGTTGAAATGACTGCAAAAGAAGTATATTCCTTGCAAGCTTCCGAACGCCAACCATTTTTCCTATGTGCATGTTTTAGATTGCTTCTTTCCCAAGGAACACCCTAGTTACTGGGGCTTGGAACAAATCATTATCACATGCCATAGACATTTCTTCTGAATATTAGCTTCCCCTAAACCAAAAGGATGTGTGAGGGTGACAACTCTTCTTCCGAAAAACTCAGTACTTCACTATGTTCTCTTGATTTCAATACCCAATTTTCTATGCTGACAGATGGAAGAAACGAGACCCAGGGAAGCTAAGTGCCTCACTCAAATCACTGGTGATAGCTTCAATTTCCCTGGTATTCACCCATCAAGCTGTGCCACCGACACACTGTACTACTCCATTCTCATGGCAGCTGTACCAAGTCGTGTTCGACTCTTTAATTTTTGCAACTTGCTCCAATAAACTCCCTAATTAATCCCAGGCCTTCTACCCCAATGCCAAGAGAATCCCCATTTACTTGATCCTACCCATTTAAAATACTCATAAATGTTATTTATCTATCCCCATCATCATTTATTGTGACTCCGTTGTTTTATAGACATTTGTATTGATTTATACAATCAATATAACTGCTGACTGCAAGTGAGGCCAGTTCCATTTGGTGAATGCAACCATTTTGAATGTAGATAAGTGGTGCTTCGTGTATCTATCTCTCTATATATAGTCATAGACATAGATCTGTGCCTCAGAGGTCAAGGACAGGCCAAGTTCTACTGATGGGATTGAACATTAGAAACAGCCATCTTGGCCTTTTAGACCATGCTTCAATCTGAGTTTGCATCTTTGGTGCTCTTTGGTGATGAGAGAGCCCTAAATGATTGGTCACCAGTTAGCCCACGGCCCTGGTTTGTGAAGGTTGTTTGAATTGCATCATGACAGTGGATCTTCCCATATGAAATATGTCAATACTTCCTTTTACTTTTAAAGATTTATTAGTTCACTCAGATTTCTATGTGTTGGAAAATGATATTATACAGAGAAAACACTCCCCTTCCCAAAGTCTGGAGCCAAATTCAGGGGACATCAGAGCCTGATAATGCAGGAGAGGTAAATAAAGATGCCAATTCTGGAGCCAGACTATGAGGGTTTTACACTGGTGTTCTCGCTAGTTACAAGCTCAACAATGTTGAGCAAGCTACCTAACCTCTGGGTTTCTACTTACTCCTTGTAATTTGGGGGCAACAATAATTTTGACTTTGTAGGATTGTCTTGAGGACTGAAGATATGGTATGGTATGGTGTGTGTGTGTGTGTGTGTGTGTGTGTGTGTGTGTGTGTGTGTGTACACATTTCTCTCTGTCTAATGTCAGACAGGAATAAAAGGATGGATGGTGTGTGACAGAGGAGGGGACTTTCTTTTATACCAATACCTTTCCCTTCCCCTAGTAGACGAGAAATACTACTTCCTGTTCCATGATGATACAGGATGAAGTTGTTTGAAGGAGAAGGCGGCCATCCGGCCTGAGCCACTTTTTCTAATTCTTCAAGTTCCTGTGGGTTATAGCACATGAATTAGAAGGGCTCTCCAAGGAAGCAGCTAGGGCAAGCCAGGATTCATCCTGAAAGGATGCATCTTAAAAACCAGTGATTCTATTTGTTGTGGTTCCTTTGTTTTGCTAACTGAGACAAGCAGCCTAGGCTGGACTTCAACCCACTGTGTAGCTCAGGCTGACTTCAAACTAATGATTCTCTTGTCTCTGCCTCTTGAGTGTTGGGATTCCAGTCCTGTGTCATTATGCCTGCCTCTGGTTCCAATCCTGAGACCTCTGTTCCACCTCAGCTTTCCCAAAGAAGTGTCCTGAAGAATGGAGCAGCTGCTTTTGGATCTGTAGAAGGGCAGTGTGCCTCACCACCATTTCTCTACACATCACATTAGTGACATCCTTCCCTGTGTCCCATCTCTCCAGCATGTCACCAACAAAGTGTCATCACATCTCTGTGTCCTTTTGAATGTCCGAGGAACTAAATGGCAGTTTACAGAGCAGTTTCTTATTAGACAGTTAACTGCCAGGATTGGTCAGTGGTCTGTGAAACATTCTCTAGGGTTGAGAAGGGGAGGAGATAGGTTATCTGTTAGTCAGCCTGGGAGAGACAGAGGAAGTTATATATGATTGTAAAAGCTCATATGGTTAATCTACAGTATGTGTCTTGTAGAGTGGGGCTTAGTGTGCACTCTACCTTTGAGCCCAGGAGGATAAAGCAAGCAAGCAGCACCTCCATTCCACACTATTTCACACACTAGCATATCTATTCTTACTTCACTGCTTAGAGATCTGCTT